GTAGGTCAAGATTTCTCGAAACCCCGAAATCTGGGTTAGCCCGCTTGTTCTTAAAAGCAACCAATTGCACATACAAGGTGAAAACTACAACTAACTACAGTACACAGTATAACAAGAATTGTTAAGAAACAGAGATTAAACAAAGAAGAAAAAATGCTGCCTGATCGGTCTGCTGCTCTTCCATTGTATATATATCATATAAACATTACATGACTGAGAATGAATAAAAACTGAATATCAACTTCCAACCAGAAGGTTTTTAATACTTGTATCAGTTAAATGAGTAAGACGATACAGAAAACTCCATATACTTCTACCCCTGTTCATCATTTCCATTTCACACCACTGCAAGTACAAGTACTTTTCTCTGTATTTAACTTTTAGCATTTTGAGGGACACTGTGTTTCCAACAGCAAAAGACAAAGAAAGAAAGAAAATTTAGAGGCCATAGCCACCCCTTCCTCCTACAGCTTTCTACTCCTTCATCTGGAGGTGTAAACATAGGCCTATTTTATCTTGTGTCTACTGCCAAAGTACCAGATGGAGTATGACTTCTTCACAGATCGTTTGGTTACTGGCCAGTTTGTTGGGAGTTTTTTAGCCTCAGGAATTTTCCATCCCATTATTCTGAAGAGATTTCAAGAACATAGTCTTCTCAGATAAGGACAAAAGAAGCAGGGGGTGAAAGCAGTACAAAAGGACGACACCTTTGTGATAGAAAGCCAAAGAAGAGTAAACTTCTCGAAATTTCAGTTTAATCCCTATCCGAAAAAACATGAGAAACACTTCAGTATAAATACAAACAGCATGAGCCTAGACGAAAGGCGAAGAACTGGAATTCTTTAAAAGCATTGTAAAGCTGACAGAAAACTACCATTGAGCTCTTGCAAGGGAACATAGAAAGGAGAAACTTATAAAATAAACTAACAGCATGCCAGTTGTTGACCCAAGCCAGGCACATCTCTTACTCACATGAGCACCTAAACACTATTTGACAAGAGACAGAAGCAAATTTTGTTGTACTGTATGTAAAACAACTAAGATTTAAAGCTCCACCTTCAACAATTGGGTACCCACCCCATTGCAGACACTTCATTTGCCAGGCCTTTCTTTAACACAAACAAAATAATTCTCAGCCAGAGCTGAAAGTTAGCTGACAAACAATAGTATAATATATAGTCTGACAAAGATCAAGGAGAGAACTATAATAATATCTGCAAGAACGACAATTCATGGCATGGACCTCATTAATTTTTCACAGGCAAGTATTAACACATGTGAAATAACGCATCATAATATCTGGCTGCCTCTAGGTTTTAAAAACAAAGATTCAGCTATATAAATATATCTATATACAATAAGCAATTAAAAGGAAAAATTAAATCTTTATTCAAACAGACAATCTTAAATAAAAGAGCAATACTCTGTGAGTACTGTATTATTAGAATTTAAAAACCACTGATGAATAAAAAGTTATGGGATTTTGGTTGCAAAATTTTAGAGGACCTTTATAAAGGAAAATATTGCTAAAAAGTGGGACAAAAATCACACACACGATAATTTCTCCTACTCCAGAAATCTGTCAGCATTGTATGCTTGCATTACGAAGTAAGTTTGGCCTTTCCTCTGAGTATTTGCCAAGTTTCATTCATTTTTTGTCTAAGAGTTCTCCCGTAACTATATTTTTAGAAAAGGGCTACCTCTGATCCCGAACAGTCCCAAAATTACATCTCGGTGCACCTCGATTTCCAGGCAAAAGCACATAGAGCAATAACCATTGCTAATATAAGAATAAATAATGGCACCCATAAGTTTCATTACTAAATTTTTAAAAATAAAAAGTCTCCACTCCTAAAAGAAAAATATAATCCGAATCAACATATGTCACACAGGCAAAAGGTAACAAAAATAGCTGAAACCAAAACTTGAAAAATAAAAAGCATATAAAATCCTTATGTCTTTCAAACCACACGACATGCAGTGCTCCTTTAACCCTATCCGTACATCGTGTTTACTATCGTACCTATACGACGAGGGGAACTCTGCGCCACCACTTTCTAAAGAGGAAATTTACTCATTAACCCGATCCGTACGCTTTGCATAGCAGTCTGTCAAAATAAATTTTCTAAAAATACTGAAATTTTCAAAGAAATCTTCTTACTAGAAGTATTCTAAAATGTGAAGACTACAACCGCGGGGGAACAAAATGACCCCAGGGCGTACGGATAGGGTTAACACTTAGCAGTAACACAGCCAGCAGTACAAAATACCCCATCTGGTCACCCGACCAGGAGAGTGACTGCAACGGACTTCTCAGGCCTGTCGCAGAAGTGCTTCAAGAGACCAGAACGGATCATTTGCACCGTCGCATTGTAGAGGCAAGGGATCGCAAAGTGTTAAAAAAGTACACGTAAGTACAGTCAAGACGGACTGAGAACTCATGGCGAAAGCCTTGTCATTACCAGTCTCAATGTGCCCATCTGGCTAGGCTCTCTACGTTTACAGGCCCATAAACCGGGATTCATAATGAGGCTTTAGCAACTCTACAAAAACCTACAAATCAACAGTACAAGCAGTAGCAGGCTAAAGGGCCTGAGGCCCCCAAAACATTTTCCCTTCGTAAATGAATGTTTCTTAGTAAACCAAATAATCAGTTGACAAGGGAATGATGATTGCTTTACAACGGATGCCCACTGCGGATGGGATCAGGTCGGATCGGGCCGATCGCTCGTCTTGTCGTCTGATAACAAACGCGTTTGTTTCTGAGGCGACGAGTCAGGCGATCGGTTTGTGCCAAGATAACCACTTTACGTCCTCAATCTGGCCAGCAAACTGACCTGACCTGACCCGACCCGACCGCGCCAAAGGGCACCTGGTATTAGAATCTCCAGCCGCAAGTAGCACGAAGCTGCCCTCATTTCTAAGCCCTATTCACATTTTAATCAGCTCATCGTCACTGAGTACGAGCAAGTTTGCTGGCTTGTAATTCGAAACTTTTACTTGTAACACAAAACTCTTGCAGCTCAGACTAAAAACATCATTCTCATCCAATAAAAGCACAAAATTTTCAATCATTGTCATTAATACTTTCAATTCATTCGTTTCATACAATCAAAGAAATTCTCTGCTGGAGCAACCCACTCACAAACAATTATAAAAAATGTGAACCCTCTTAAACCGAGTGGAGAAAGGGTGTGTTTAGAAGAGGAACCCCTAAAAACTCAGCAGTAAATACTGTAATGCTTTCAATGCCCATATAACATCACTGCATTTAAAATTTATAAGCATATATCCAAGTCATTTTTCTCATGAGACTAGCAATACATATATATATATATATGCAACTTCCATAGTTTTGTTGTCATCTTTTTACAAAAGTGTTAAAAAAATACAAGTGGATGTATTCTTTGTAATGGACAACACAGGGAAAATTGAAAAGAAGAAATTCTGCAAGATACAAATTCAGAAACGCTCTTGTGTTTCTACTGTCTCTGCATTCAGCTTGCTTTTCCGGATCTGTGACAATTTGCAAAAATCTCCTGGCAAGGGATGAAAAAAAAAATCAAAGCTCAAAGCCACATGGTAGGCCTACCGACCAACTAGATTCTTTGTCCGAGGTACACTTTCAGCATTCCTGGTGAGGCATCCTCAAACCTGAAAAAAAATTGAAAAAAATCACAGTTATTAATATATCTAGCAAAGAGGAGTCATGACACTGTTCCATATACAAGTTATACAAATTCTACTGCAGATTCCTCTTCAACATTTTGAGAAACTGTTTTGGAAAAGAATGAAATAACCAGCAGAACTGAAATGCCAACCAAACTCCATACATTTCTATCACATTGACATTTGTGCCCGCACTCTAAGCAACAGAAGTTATTAACTTCATGGCAAAGAGCCTTTGAGCTATTACATTCATGACATGACTTTCTATGAATCTATCCGTTAAAACACACCCTGCCCACTCCATTAATCAAGAAATAACCCAAATAAAGTTTAGAATAAAAAATCATTAGTGATGATGAAGATGGTGATAATCCATTTTTAATAAATAGAGGTTTTCTTAAGCAAATTATTTCATAAAGCTATTTATGGCTTTCTTCTTTTAAGTTCTACTTTCTTTTTTCTATATGTGGATGATGACAGAATTAAACAAAACAAAATTTTAAAATTAGAAAGTTAAAGGCCAGAAGAAAATAATGAATCTATTCAAACAGTGATAATTTATATATATATATACGGCACAGTTGATTGCAGTGACATGATACGGGTAGCTAACTCAGTCTACTTTTTTTCTTCTCTAGACCTCAGAGGTACTCGACTGCCGGTTCTTCAACCTACAGTGCAGCAGATTTTAAAGTATGTTACCGTTTTTCTTAATTTGTATGTAATTACAGTGATGTGATACAGGTAGCTAGTGTCTTCTAATTTTTTTCTCTGCGTTCCTTTGCGAGATCTCAGGGGTAGTCGACCATTTTTCATGCTTAGTTGATAATTACAGAGACATGATTATGATCAGCCAATTTTCTGGCACACATCAAAATTTCTTTGATCTCCTGACATTGAAAATACACAAATGTGTACCGGAATCGAATTCTTCAAAATTCAGTCTCCTGCTCTGGCACTCATCAATGGTTTCTTTTGACGTCTCAGCATTCTCACTCTCGTTTCCCATCATTTTCCAAAATCCATATCACGATGAGGCCTCACATTCAGTAGTTTAGGGTTTTTGGAGGCTTGTACAAATTGCATTTTGATGTCTACACGAGGTCGAGTTGTTAGGTCAATGAGTAGTAATTCTGCTGAAACACTAACCCTTTTAATAAGAGTTTTACGGCTCTTGCAACACAATTAGGTTATATAAGTGCTGAAGATTAGAGGTGTTACAAGAGAGAAACAAACACAAAAAGACAGAGATACCAAGGAGAGACAAGAACGATAGATGCTTGACAGGAAAGAAGAAGCAAACCACACCAAAGCACCCGCCAATCAACCACACCAAAGCACCCGCCAATCAACCACACCAAAGCACCCGCCAACCAACAACAAACTCACCTTGATCTGGCTCCGGCCGCTGAAGAGGGCCGAACATCAGCTCCAACTGCTGGATAAAGTCGGCAGGAACGACTACCTGGTTGGGACCTGTGGCCACTTTGACGGGGCTTCGGGCTTCACCACCAGCGCTCTGAAGATACTCCTCAAGAGGAGATAATGCAGCACTTGCTGGACCCGGCTTTGGTGCAAGCGACAGACTATCCGACCTCCTTAAAAATGAAGCAGACCGTGGAGACCTGGGTTGTTTCACAGGAGTCCTCAGTTCTGGTACTTTGTGCTTTGCTCTCCACGGCTCCCTGTCCAGTGTGAAAGCAGGCGGTGTTTTGACCGGGGTGACTGGTGAAGCCATGAGTGGCTGGACATACTCGAGAGAATCTTGACTGGGAATCCACTCCCAGCACTCATCAGCCGAGACGGTGCCCGTGAAATTGTCTATGGACAGGTCATCTCCGCCAAACTGCGCTCTGTCGGAATGCACACTCAGCAGCCGCCCCCAGTTGAACTTCTCAATCCTCTGGAGTCGAGTCTGTGCTGCTTGAATCACCTGCATCTCAAGGTCATCAGAGTCTACGTGGGACAGCGACTTTAAGACTTCGCTGCACAGAGTGGCTAGGCGTAGCACACTTCCAACAGAATTGGCCAGTCTGCCTGCAGAATCTGAAGAGACTTTTGGCTCCTCCCCATCTGAGTCCTCACTGCCCAAAGCTGTGGAGTCTAGCAAGTGGTTGGTGACCCACTCCATGTTGTTGTGGCACACAGCCAGGGTCTCCTCCAGCTGTTTCTTGGAATATTCTGGAAAACATGACTGAAGGGTTTCCAAGTCAACCGTGTCCTGCTCTAACATTTCATCCGTCTCTGTGCTCTTGTCCGATGTGCCTTCCTTGCGAGGCACGGCCACTTCCTCCACTGCCTGACCACAGCCAGGGAACGACAAAGGCTGGGAGGATGAGGTGATGATCTTGTAATCACTTTCTTGTAAATCAGCAGGTGCAAAATCTTTAAAAGCGGGGGAATTCAGTCGATAGACAGCGCTTAAGTAATATGCTTCAGACTGACAAGACGAGGATTTCACTTCTCTCTTCACCAGGCTCACAGACGGGGACACATCTGTCAAACTCTCCAACTTTGGAATTTGGGGTTCAAATGCACTCCAGCTTGTAGACTGCGACTGGATCTTCACAGACTCATCAAGAAAAGCAGGAACGGCCCTCCCTTTCCTCTGACGTTGTTTCTTTTTCCTCGGAGTAGACGCAGCAGTTGAACCATCAGAGTTGACGCACGGACTTTGCTCCCGGCTTGCATGAGCTGACGTAGACGCACTTCTGGTTTCCAGTTCTTGAGGCGACAGACTCCTCACCCTGTCTCCATCCCATCGTGTATCTGACGTGTTCACGGAGCCAAGGGCATCAGATGACCCTTGCTCTCCCATCACAGACGCGGGTGGGTCTCTCACCACTTTCTGATCATCCCCACAAGTCTCACCATTCTCACTTTCACTTCCCGTCATCTTCCCAACATTCAGAGAGGAAACACTCACTGCTGGCTTATTAGAAGAAATCGTATCCTCGTCGCTTTTGTCAGAATCGCTGTAACCGACAAGAGACTTTGCAGAGTCTAGTCTGAGAGTTGTGGCAGGAGTGGAGACAGACGGGGGTACAGAAGTGCTGGAAGGCACAGTGGTACTAACAGATGTTTGCGTCAAATTGCCAGATGAAGCATTGGAAGTGTCTGCAGATGTGACTGGAACACACGATGCCACCGCAGTGATGGTAGCTGGCACAGAAGTATTGTCAGCTGACACGGACGAACTACTACATGAAATTGCAGCGTTGCTAGATAACACAACAAATTTATCAGATGGCACAGTGGTACTGTCAGACTGAAGAGGATGAACTGGAGCCAGAATCTTCTCTGAGCATAATTCATCTTCCCTTCCTTCACCACTTTCTGAGCTGGACCCAGACCTCAAGCTCAAATCGTCAACAGACTGATGATGGTCAGAGGAGTCAGTGGTGGAGACATTCGGCGTATTGATCACACCCAAGATGGCAGACTTGAGCGACTGTCGCAGGAACTCTGACGTGATCATACCTTTCCCTTCTTCTTCTGAGGCAGAATTTCCCCTGTCCCGCCTCCTCTGTGTTGGAAGTCGCTGAGCTTTCGCCTCCAGCCACTCTAAACTGTTTTCCAAATGGCCGAAGGGCTCACAAGAGCCGATCTGCTTAGAAGAACTGTCTGCTCCTGCTTCAGCATACACTTCAGCCAGTGGTGTTGTGGGACTTTTGTTTTTGCTGCTTCCTTTTTCGGGTCGAGTAGTGTGAACTGGTTTGCCTCGAGTCATTGGTTTGACAAAGTTAGGTCGCCTGTAAAGAAGAGAAACAGTAATGATGGATTAGATTAGAACAGAGCTGTTCAGAAAGAGTTTTTGTTATAACAACCATATTCTTCTACGAACAGATTCGGATTTCTGGCAGCTTACTTAAAAAACAAACTAACATTATTGAAAGAAATGGACCTTTCTAGTTACATGACACACACACTAAAAACAGATAGAACATAAAATCTGTTTAGTTTTAGTAAGACTTTTGGGGTAATTGCAACACAATAAGGTCACAAGTGCCTAAAATAAGAGGCGTTACAAGAGAGTAGCAAACAAAAAAAAATAGGAGAGGAGATAAGGATGAAAGATGTTTGATAGGAAAGAAGGAGCAAAACACAACACAGCACCTGCCAAGCACCCACATATAATTCTGTTTAATTTTGTAAGAAGAATGGTCAAAAATGGTTTTTATTTTTAGCACTAAGGTCCGTCATTTGCAAACACCTTATATCCAACAATTTTTTAAAGATCACTACTACTAACGTCTATTCATTTCTACTTCTTCTTCAAAAGTGCTCCTTGCAAGCATTTATAAAATGACCTAATGCGTTAACAGTAACACTGAAGTTGGATACAACTATCTTACTTGATCTTGAAGTGCCTCCCTGCCTGTTGGAGAACTTTTTCCGTCGTCAGCTCTTCATATCTGTCCTTCATTCTCTTGATGTGTTCTCTGTTCACACCGTGGATGTTTCTCCTGGAGATAAATGTACACCATGATGTTTTACGGGGAAAGAAGGAGCCTTTGCTGCTGATATTTGACATACATTTTACAGCAAGTCCTCACAATTAAATAAATATGTATATATACATATGTTATAACAATAATGCAATTGACCAAGAATATAGAAGCAGGAGACAATCACACACAAACATCCCCCCTCCCCCCCCCCCCCCCACACACAAACAAACTCCATACACTTACCTTGTGAGTTCTTTCAGATTTGACCTCCACACTGTGTCTGGCTCCACCACCTGCACATCATAGTTGTGTTCCAAAGCCTGGAAGAATAAGAAGAAGAAGAATAACAATAAAAATAATAATAATAATAATAATAATAATAATAATAATAATAATAATAATAATAATAATAATAATAATAATAAAATAATAATAATAAATAGCATTTGTATAGCGCATACCCCCGCTCAACAGCAAGCTCTATGCGCTTTACACTATATTATAATAAGAACACAAACTATGAAATTGATAAGAGTAGAAAATGTCCCACTTTCAGCCACCTATTGTCGAGAAGAGATCAGTGGCTGAGTTCAGCAGGTGGGCGGACATCTTAGATAGGGTCATTATAATAATCTTATAAATAAGAAAACAAAAGGGAAGAGGTAGGAGATGGTCATTTGTAAGTAGTAAAAGTTTTACAACACTTGCAACGCAATAAGGTTGCATAAGTGCCGACGATCAGAGATGGTGCAAGAGAGTAACAAACACAAAAAAGGAGGAGAGATAAGGATAAAACATGTTTGATGGGAAAGAAGGAGCAAACCACACCAGAGCATCCACCAACCATCCGCTGGTCATTTGTACAGGTGATTATCTTGGACAGGTGTCTATTAGAGCAGATTTGACTGCGACCAACACAACTGTTCACATGAAGATATGAGAACACAATATTTGAATGACTAAAGAACCCAACTGATTCCGAAGCAACTTCTCTATGGAAAACTTGCCATGGGATTTGAGGTACAAAAACACCTGCAAAAACAGCTTATCTAAGCTTGGAGTAGATGTTAGCATCTGGAAAGAAATAGCTGAGGACAGGAAAACATGGAGGAAAGAGATAAAGGAAAGAACTATAATGCTAGAGAGCAGCCTTAGAAACAACCAGGCTGAGAAGCGCCAACAACGAAAGGAAAACAGCGGAAATACAGAGCCTCGATCTACGACACTGACATGCAAGCACTGTGACAGAATCTGCGCTTCAAACATAGGAAGAATTAGCCATGAAAGAAGCTGCACGAAGACAACCTTGAGACCATCTTAAGCTAAATTAACCGTCTGCATAAATGAAAAGAGCCATACACAGAGAACCCAAGACTGGTGTCTGTGGTGTAGTGGTTTGGCACTTTTAGTTTTAATACAAGTTTTATGGCACTTGCAACATAATACAGTGCCGAAGATAAGAGGTGTTACAAGAGAGTAACAAACACAAAAAAAGGAGGCGGAGAGATAAGGACGATAGCCGTTTGATAGTAAAGAAGGAGCAAACCACAATAGAGCACCTGCCAACCACCCACACTTTGCCTTCACAGGCACAAAACGAGAGCTTGATTCACATGTGGGAAGAATTTTTATTGAGTATCTCAGTCTTTTTGCTGAAACATTGTCTCCCTCCCCCTCCCTCCCTCCTTCCCTCCCTCCCTCCCCCTCTCTCTCTCTCTCTCTCTCAGAAACACCTCTCCAAAAAAAAAACGAACCTGAATCACTTCACATATTATTTTTTTTTAAATACAAACAAAAAATTTAGAAAGAAGAAAAAGGTTTAAAACTATTATGACTGAAATCCAAATGCTATTCATTGGTTTGAGGATACTTTTCTGTGCAATGTTAGTAAAAAAAAAAATTTCTCTGAACAAAAATGTCCATGAAGCCCTTCAAAAGTCCCATTCTTTCCAATCAAACACAGATCCGCGATGATGATGATGACACTTACCAGAACTGCATACGGAAGCAGCTCCCACATCATGGTGTTAGTGTTATCGATAATGATCGGTGAGACACCATTACGAGCGCATTTGACGGCTGTGGGAAAAAAAAGAGGGAAAAACATCCTGAGTTAATCCAATAAAAATTCCCAAATCTGTCCACAAGGATAAATAAAAAAGAGAATGATACCTCTTTTTCCAAGAATTATTGTGTAGCGCAATATGCATTTTTCAAATCTTTACGAAACATGTTCCAAAAAAAATCTGTATATTTTTTCATCATTAATCTGATACCAACTCAAGATATACATGTGGAATGGCATAAGAAAACCCTACACAAGCGTTAAAATTTCCATTTTGAGATTGCACATTTTGTCTATTCAGGACACTGTCATAATTTGCACTTCATTTTATGCCAATATCTTCGATGTCTCAAAAGTTAAGACAATTTGAATGATGTAGGGGAAAGAAAACATTCAAAAGAGAAAGTAGTGTTTAAAGTTAAGACATTCACTTATTTGTAAATCAAATATTTTACAGCTTTTCAAAGTTATTCGGAATACATACGTCACATTCCTACATGGGGGCTCTCGTGGCCTAGAGGTTAAGGTGTTTGCCTCTCATTCAAAGGTCCCGGGTTCGTATCCGGGTAGCAACCGAAAAATTTTCTTCTTTAAAATTGTCTCCTTTCACCTCTTTTCCTGCTCTCTAGCAATTTATGTCATCTGCTTTCGTCTCGTCTCTCTGCCTCACCCCCTTACCTCCTTTGCCCCCTCTTCTGGGCTTCTAACTCCTTCTGCAGCCTTTCTACAGCTACTCCTTGGCTCCTTCTTACTGCTCTTTCAGCAACACCCCTGATCTTCTGGTAGGAAAGATTGACACCTAGCCTTCTTGGACAGGGGCGAAAAATCTCGGAGGGCCCGTGTGCAAGTTGCGCACATTAAAGATCCCTTGGTGGTCTAAAATCGATAACAGTAAGCTTCGGCCGCCACCTGGGCAAAATTCTAAATTTCCTACCAACTGAAAATGTTTAATGTGTCCCGCGCGCTCTCAAGTGACCATATGCAGTTGTGAGTGCCGTAAAACACTTACCTACCATTCCTACATATAAGCACACATAATGCAAGACAATGTATGTAGAAATAAATAATCTGACAATCTCGTGGCACATTTACTAATCACGGTGATCTAAACACTGTTCCATGAATGCAGTTTTGTTCGGCTAAATGTAATGAAGATGGCCATCTGTTGGTTTTAGGGCAAAGTCAAGAAAACATAAATAAACCTTAAGTGTACACTTTGATTTCACTGATACTTTAAGCTGGGCATGATGCAAAAGATGCAAAAGTTTAATTTTCTAACTTTGCCCAGATGACTCTTTGTTGGTTTTAACGGCACACATCTCTGAAAGTCGGTCTGTTTAATCTTCATATATATTTTTTAATTTTCTTATGTTGTGCCTTGGGGCTTTAAATCCGACCACTATGTGACTTCTCAAGAAACACAATCTGTAGCAGCTTCGGTAGTTTATATTTACGACATGGAAAGGAACAGAAAGACAAGAAATGTCTCACCTCTTTGCTGGTTCCATGTGTGGGCCTCGTCCAACCGGTGTCTGTCAAAAAAATAGCCTCCCCTTTGTTGGAAGAAATCATCAGAGGACAGGACGGCACCGGCACTACCCATGCAGTTGCTTTGCTCCAACAGTTGACTGAAATAGAACACCATTTTCCCCACATCAGATGAGGTAGTCGAGACAACGGAATGTACATCGAGTAGCCCTAAGTGTATTGTATGAGTAAGTGCATGTGTGTTCATGTGGTGTCCATGAGAAAGTGGAAAGAATTTTATAACCGTTTCATGCCCCCATAGACATAATCTAAAACAATTACTGGACACCCTGTTCAAACCCTGCCTCTGGATGGTTGGCGGGTGCTCAGGTGTGCTTTGCTCCTTCTTTCCTGTCAAACATCTATCATCCTTGTCTTCCCTCTTTCTTTTTTGTGTTTGTTTCTCTCTTGAAACACCTCTCATCTTTGGCACTTACACAACCTTATTGTGTTGCAAGTGCCGAAAAACTGTTACTAAAACTAAACTAAACACTGCCTGTCAAGACCAACCAGGCTGTGCGGCATACAACCCATCAAAAGACTGAGAACCTGGACAAAATACTTTTCTTATGTGAAAACCAACGTCCTTTACATGCAGGATAAAAAGCCAAACCATTCTAATTTAGCATTTGGAGGGTACCACTGATAGGTCCAACTTCTTTTCCTTCTCTTTGCTGTTTCTGTCTATCTTTCTTGCTTTTTCCCAGCACTAAAAAAAGACCATTAATGTGTCAAGGTGCTTCTCTTTATTCAAACAAACTTCTAACAAAAAACACACATAGAGGATGCAGTAATAAATGGACTACACTTTGAATTTTAAAAGATGAATGTGCTAAATTTCAGTTTTAGAGAAGCAGTTGGTGAACATACAATGTAAACTTCCTGTTTTGGCATAGCAGATTAGAGGAACTGAACTTAGCTTAACTGTACCAATGATAGTACATAACAAGATGGGCCACTTCTCTCTTTGAGCCAATTAAAAAAGTGTCCTCAAAATTTGGTGGCGCCCTCTTCACAAAAGCGCACTCTTTGCGAACAGAGTTACCCTACTTGAGTTTTAAAAAATCAAAGTGAAACTAGCAAGTTTTGGGATAAATTTCGGAAGAACGCTTTTTTAAAATGGTTACGCTGACAAAAAAACCTCTTCCGGAGGAAAGGGTGATGGTTTTCTTTGTTTAATTTGACTTTAGAGTGAAAGGCGAGAGGTCATTAGAATTTTAAAAAACTAAAACTCCGCACTGAACGTACCCGAACTGCTGATGAACAGCAGTCGATCTGCGCACGCAAGGAGGTGCTATTCCTATTCTTTTTCTGGAAAAACGAAAGAGAGCTTCAAAACAGACTGCAGCGCCATCTGAAGCAAAGAGCATACTTCCTGCGGACACTTTTTTGGCTGAGTGGCCCATCTTGTTATGTACTATCATTGACTGTACTCACTTTGCCAGGTAGCTCTTGCCACTTCCTGGGAGGCCTCTCAGAATGAACATGACGGGCTGTTGTTCCTGGAAATATCGGCGAGCCATCCCCACAGCAGACTTGACCCCGTGAAACACAAGCTTGTTTTTCACTGTCTGGCCTGGCTCTTGTGGCATAAGAGAAGGGATTTTAGCGTTTGGAATCTGTCCAGCTGAGAGCTTAACATTTTTTATCGTGTCATTGGGGGGGAAATATGGGGAAAACAGGGATGGCAATGTTTCCATGCCTTTAGAAGATTGTTGTGGGACAAAACCAGATCCATTTTTAATAACTCTTGTCGTCACACCCACGGGTTTTGAGATGGGAGTTTGAAGTAAAGGAGTCGGCTGTCTTCCATTAACACCCTTTGCATTCGAATGATTTCTCCAGGGAACCTGGCCAGTCCGAGTCACACCAGGCTGGGAGGGCACCTGCTTTCCACTCCGAGGATGTGAAACCACTGTTTTCCATTCCCCTGAGTCAAGATTGCTGAAGATTTTCGCCTTTGTCACTGATGGACCTCCAGGCAGTCTTGTGGGTTCATTTCCAAATTCCCTACTCTCCTGCATGTCTTTTGGCACCACATTTTCTTTCTTGTGGTCTAACCGTTTCGTAAAATGATTTTGCTCGGATAAATTTTTCTGCCGTGTTGCTTCTTGCTTTGAGCCAACGTTTTTTGGTGCGACAGCCGGCGTCCATGTTGATACATCTAGCGACAAAGCCATGCTCGACGAGTTGTCCAGATTAGGATCAGCTTGTGACAAAGAGCCCAAAAACTGGGGAACAAATTCTTTTGAAGCTGGGGAGAGTTTGTAATTCTGGGCCAGAGCGGGGACATCTTTTGAGGTTTCAGCTTCCCTGCTCTGAGGGTGAGCAGATTCAGCCGGTCCTTTCTTCATATCTGTTCCACGCTTTTTTTTCCTCCCTCTCCCTCCTTGGCCTCCCTTTTTGTGACTACCCACACTCACTCGTGAGTTGTCAGTCTGCAAAGCTTTAATCTCACTGCCAAAGGGTGCATCCAATGTGTCTGAAACTGACTTGATGAGGCTATCAATGTCTAAAGAATCATCAGCAGAGGGCAATGGATCAATGCCAAAACTATCAAAGAAATTGTCCCAACTCTTCTGATGCTGCTCCTTTTTCCTCCGTTCAGGGGCCACATTTTCTTTCAAGACTTCAGAGGCCTTTTGTAGAGGGCCTGAGTTTGCAGTTTTGCTTACCACAGTAGCAGGACTTGCCTGGGACAACACAGTGGTCAAGGAACCAGTGCTTGGGGCCACAGATACATTCAATGAAAGATTATTTGAAGGAACACTGCTTTCCATCATGACTGCTGTCTGGCTTTCAGATACACACGCCTCTGGGCTAGACTGTGCAATACTGTCATGCTGCTCCGCACACTCAGGGGTATTCACTTTGCCTTCATCCATTGAAGCTGCACAGGAAAAAATACCATTAGAACTTTCACCATTATCTCCACTTGCAATCTCTATCCAGTTACCTAGCTCCTTGCTCATCTCTGACTCTACAATGTCACTAAATGTAGAAATGTCATCGAGAGAATTATCAAGACAAAGTTCTTTGTCTGTTACGGAATCCGGAGGCTGAGTAGAAGCAAAGCCACCTCCCTGTTGCTCGACAACATTATTACTCTCATCAGCCAATAAACTGCAAGCGATGAGAGCAAGATCATTCTGTTCTGGCAATCTTTGAACTGTGCTCTTCTCCGATATCTCCAGCAACTTCTCAATGGCTTCACCAACTGAAATATGTCCAAAAAAAAGAATCTGTGAATTCACAAGGGATGGAGCAAACAAGATCAGACACATTTTATAGCATGATAAAGATGATCTCTGACATGATGAAAAGAAAGAGTAGCAGAAAATTGGGTGAATTTGAAGTACAACTTGATCCTCACTGAAAACTTTCAATAGAAAAAATATGATGAAAATTCATGGACCAAACTAAATGGCTAAAATGATTTTAAATATGTGAAAGTTTTACCCTCCAACACTTTCCGAAATCTAAATTAAAACAATTTGGACCATTAATATTCAAAATATATATATATACAGTTTATGTGTGTGTATGTGAGCATACCCATGTATACATGTATTTGTATATATTTCTGTATGTTATATGGATAAATAGTAGATATGTGATGAATGAGAGGTATTTTACCTAAGAGAGGTATGCTAAGACAATTTAATAGATGATAAGACATTATTAGTAATGTGAGCCATGCCGGGGTATGGATAATCGTGTCTTTGGAAAAAATAAAATATCAAAGCATAACACCACAAGTTATATATCTATTCTAAACAACAGCCCAAACAAAACAAAACCAAACAGGCAAAGAAACAAACAGGCAAAGTGAGGCAACAACAAGTAGTAAGCTTTTACAAAGCATACTTGTGGTGTCGGTAGTCTAGTGGTTAGGCTACTAGACTCGCGAGGTTGCGGATTCAATGGTTCGAGCCTCAGGCCCGATGTTGTGTCCTTAGGAAAGCACTTAACACGAATTTCCCTCATTTCACCCAGGTGTGAATGGGTACCCAGCCATAGAGGGCAAAAGATCTTGTCACTATGTGAGTATTTTAGCACTTATAAATGGCAGCTTGCACTATATACTTTCCAGGAAGTTGAGATTGTTTTAGAATGCTATCAGATCTGTTGAGGTAATGACATAGATTGTAAAGCGCATAGAGCTGGCTGTTGAGCGAGACTTTGTGCTATACAAAAGCTATCTATAATTACACTATCTTTTTTTCAATGCAGGTGTTTCTACGCCCCATCATCACAAGTTAGATCATTTAGGAGGGGGGCTTCCAACCCCGTCTGTCAAGGGTACATTCCAGCAAATAGACCGAGATGCTAAATAAAAGTCTCCTCCCCACTTAAAAATTGAACTGCGATCTCCAGCGCGCAAAAACGAAGTGCCTTACCACTACACCACAGAAGCCTGTTTAATATGTTTGAAAAGACCTATCAAGCCTCCTTTAAATATAATAAAATTACTGCTGCAATCAGAAGGAAAGCAAGGTGAGCTGAAAGTGGGATCTACATTTCGATGTCATAGTAATAAGACTCCCGGTCTTAAGCTTCATCGCCTGACCCAGGGCTACCCATTGTAGTTAATTCCCACCAGTCATTGCATTCACACTTTGTTTTGCAAAAACCCATGAACAAAACAATAATAAAAGAAATCAAAGTATTATGCAAAACAAAATGTGAAATATTAGAAAACTTTTGACAAATCAAACAGCACGTTGACCCAATTGTTTGGAAATCTTGTTTAGGGTCACTTCACTTGGAAAATATGGCTTATGAGAGTGCACAGAACTTTCAGTTTTTGGGAGCTTTCATTCAAGTATTAATTTCACTGGCGTTGTGCCTTCTTGTATAATGGTGTCAAATTTCGGTGGCTGTGCAATGTTGGATAGACTCTCGGGGTGTGAATTGAGACCATACTGGCTGCCCCCAATAGGTTTTCACAGATGTGAATAATATTATTTCACTGTGCATTATTAGCCAATATACAGAGAAGTCCATTTAGACCCAACATGGTTTATCCAAAAACAGGGGTAAAGAGAAAGAAAATAAATTAAATAAAATCCCCGGTTTCTTTTTCCTCTATTTGAGCAAACTCTCTAAACCAAAAATCCAGCTGAAGCAAAAAAAATCTGGCGGTCCTGCAGATTTCAGTTTAAGTGGACTCCACTGTATTAGTAAATATTTTTTTAAAACATGTTGCATGTTACCTGAAAATGTTATGAGAAGGACGATTTGAGAAAATACAAAATAGGTGATCGAATCACAAAACAGCTATTAAGATCAATACAAATTCATTGTTAAATTGAACAAATGCAAGTCATTACGGTGGAATCACATGTTCGTCAAATTTAAGGGAACATAGAAATCAGTATTTTTTTCTGACTTGGGCCATTTTTATCTTTAAAAAATTTGTTTGCTCTTGAAACCTTCACCATCCTTTACAGGATGAATATGGGTGAAAAATGTTATTTAAATAAAAAATAGGTCATTTTCTCAAACGATTACGAGTATTCAGCTTTAAAAGTCATCAAACTTTGGCAGACATTTTCTCGCTAATTTCACCAGTAACATCAGGTTAACTCCGCTTTCTTAAATCGCACATATCTCCATTTCTAAGCAAAATAAAACTGTATTTTTTTCATCACCTTCAACAAAAATAAACAAGCCTTAATTCTATACTAATAACTCCATTTGCTCCAAAACTGACGAGATCCTGATTCCCCCATGCTGCAACACAATTTTCTAACTTGGGAAAGAAAAACTTGACAAGAAAAAAATTGACAATTGATTAAACTTGATTACAAATCAGTTCAAGTATAGAAAGATAAAAATCATTAGAAAGAAAAAGAGTTCAACCTATATCTTCTATCGGTCTAGATGTCCCTGGTAGCTTGTTTGAGAAAAAAATATAGAATCTGTGGAAACAATGATCAGTGCTGATACATCTCTGTGGAAAACACCAAAACGATTTCATTAAACAAGAAAACTCTCATCTCACAAAAAAAAAACGCTTAAGCTCAGACCGGCTCCTCAGACCAAGGATTTCCCTACATATATAAAAAGATTTTAACAGGGGTAAGAATGTTAGTAATTAGCTAGAGACACTCAGCAGACAGCCTGGACAAAAAATAACCCCCCCCCCCTGCCCCTCCCCTTTTCCACCTTCAGCTCAGGCAGACATTAAGTAAGTTCTTTTAGTTTTAGTAGAGGTTTTACAGCGCTCGCAACGGTGTGTGTGTGTGTGTGTGTGTGTGTGTGTGTGTGTGTGTGTGTGTGTGTGTGTGTGTGTGTGTGTGTGTGTGTGTGTGTGTGTGTGTGTGTGTGTGTGTGTGTGTGTGTGTGTGATGGGGGATAGCAAGGAAGTATAAAATTGAGAACGTCTATGTGTGCGGACGGGTGGGGGGGGGATGTCGATTTGAGTGACAGCCGCACAACTCTACAAATCGGAGTGGACACTCCCGATGTTCTTAGTAGATCAAGTAATGGCGCCCCCAATTGCACCTTTACCAAAATTTCTTATGGCCTTAATTCACTTACACATATACAACTTCTTATTGCCACCATATTATAAATTAATGCTGACAATCGAAAGTCAACAAAGATGGAAAATTGTTCACTGGTATTTCGATGGACTACAACAAGGTCCTTGTGCGTACTCAACTTACACTCAAAATGGGGGCTCTCGTGGCCTAGAGGTTAAGGTGTTGGCCTCTCATTCAAAAGGTCCCGGGTTCGAATCCGGGTAGCGACCAAAAAATTTTCTTTTCTAAATTTGTCTCCTTTCACCTCATTTCCTGCTCTCTAGCAATGTTCTGTCGTCTGCTTTCGTCTCCTCTTTCTGCCCCCACCCCCTCACCTCCTTTGCCCTTTCCTCTGGGCTCCTGATTCTTTCTGCAGCCTTTCTACTGCTACTCCTTCGCTTCTTCTTACTGCTTTCTTTCAGCCACACCCCTGATCTTCTGGTAGGAAAGATCTACACCTAGCCTTCTTTGACAAGGGCGAAAAATCTCGGAGGGCCCATGTGCAAGTTGCGCACGCTAAAGATCCCTTGGTGGTCTAAAATCTATAAGAGTAGGCTTCGGCCGCCACTCGGGCAAAATTCAAAATTTCCTACCAACTGAAAATATTAGGTGTTTCCCGCGCGCTCATATGACCTTATGCAGTTGCGAGCGCCATAAAACGCTTTACAAAAACAAAACATGATACAGTGAAACTCGGATATATACAACAAAATCATTGGGCCTGACCTTCAATTTAGTTGAATCCAAGATTTCATTATACAGCAATGTGAGCAACAAGTTGTGTCACAATGTAGGGCTTAACATACGGCTACGTCTGCTTCCACAAACCAACGCCCAATTCATTACGTAGATTTATATCTATATCTCGAATAGCTTTTTACAGTGCAGTAGTCGAGGAGAGGGGTAGATATGATTGTGACGCATCTGTATCTCTGCAGACTTTCCATGCATGCCTACGCGCCCCCCCCCCCCTTCCAATTTCCTTAGTCACACACACTAACAGCCACCTGACCATCCTCTCAGAGTTCACTCTTTTATTAAATATGTGTTACTCTGTTGATAATAGCGAATATTTAAAAAAACAGGGAATCAGTCCCTTTTCGTTAAAAATCATATTTTTCGTTGAATCCTAGTTTCACGGTACTATTGTTCATTGTTTCAGGAAGCAACATCCCTGCACTCCGGACATGTCCATTGATGCTCTGTTGCTCTCTCTCTCTCACGGTACCAAAAATATACAAAGCGGATCAATTTACCTCTTCATTCTTATGCATAGCTGTAATGTTTCTATCAAGGGGCTTGTGTTAATTTTAAAGTGGTTCATTTAACCATCTACCATTGTGTCTTGTCCGAAGACACACGCCTATGCGATTGATTTAACATCTACCATTGTGTCTTGTCTAAAGACACACACCTATGTGACCAGCCCCACCTAAAACCAGTGTCACTGAGGAGTTAACCCGACATCATTTTTTAGCAAGCTGATCTCACTAAAGTACACATATAAGAGGAAGTAACTGTGTTCAATATTACACTTACTTTCACCATTCACCTCAGTCATCACAGTCTCGATGAGCTCGCGATCCATGCCAGGGAACATCTCAACCAAGCTGAGAACATCGTCCTCATTCACCTTCACGGTCTGACCAGATCGCAAAGGGTTGGCCATTGTTGTGGATTTAAACTGTGGAAGGATTGCATACAACATAAATCCCTACGAAAAATAAAGGTAGAATCATGAAAGATTGAAACATTTCCAGGTTCCTGGATATTCAAGTCCAAATCAAATTCAGCTGCCATTCAATGACGGCACTCAAAAACTAAAAACTTTTGTTTATATAACTGGAAAGATCTTTCTAGGGGTTATATTTTCACACCCATCCCTTGTTCAGATCCTCTACAGCACTCTTATTCATTCATTGATTTTTATCTCTGTTTCATATATATTTCAACTTAATACTGGTTGCAAAGTAGTCCTTTTGGAGACACCTGATGCTTTCATTCGAACTAATTTACAACAGTAATATTTTGCATGCTTTAAAAAATTTGGGGGTGTGTGGGCTTCCTGAGTACGTATTTCACCAAAGTTTGATGTTTTAGTTAGGTAGCGAAAACAAATAGTTTGTGTGCAGCAAATTTAGTTGCCATATGTGTTCGGCTGCCAAAAAGTATGATAGCCCCCAAAAGCATGGCATCTGTTTGCAGTTGCAGGTGTGACAGTAACATTTTATCAAGCTTTCATTCCCTGTCTTAGTATTCTTCCTGGCCTTCAAAAAATGTGCATGACATTTCTTCCACAAGGATTAACTCTAAACATAGGACCAAGACTGAAGTTGTAGAACTTTGTAACCTGCAAGCAACTTACTGACATGTTACGTCAGGATAGTAGGGTAACTAGTAACCATTGGGGCCAAATTGAAAACCACATTATAATTACAATCATTTAAAAACAAATCTTGTATATATGCTAGAGACAAACTCTGAATACACTATGATCTTTGTGTGTCACTTGTGACTTGTGATACTGTGTAACTTAATACTCAGTGCCCATTGGGGAATCGGTTCTCTGACACAAACCGATTGCCAGACCCGCAGCCTTGAAAACAAAACACGTTTTGTCGGTTTTTTGAGGGTCACCGTCGGCTTCGTTCAGTTTGTGCCACAATGGTCCCTTTTCGCCCTCAATCTGGGTAGCCCTGCCTACCGCCAAACCGAACCCAACTGGTTAACTGTCAGAAAAAACATTCAGTTTCAGGCCCATGCATAAATGAACAGCCAAATGACCACATAAATCATGGTTTCGATTTTCGTTCTTCCCAGTCACAGTCCCAATAGCCTACCAAATATATTTTTTAAGCTTATCTATTGTCTATTTGTGGTGGCCGAATTTTGCTATTCAAAAGGCTTTTTAACCGTACGGCTGCATCGATCGCCATGCAGTTTTCGCCAAAAGATTCTTTAAAATATTCCCCAGATCATGACGCCCTTCGTTTTTTCAGTTTTGAGACAGTTTTGTCGCAGAAAGCTAAATTTCTTTATTTCGCCGATCGCTTTTGTAGGCCGACGCTTCTGTCTCTGTAATTTTAGAAAAGGAGGTTTCCGTACACTAACCGTGCGCACCGTTTTTAGAGTATAGATCTAAATTTTCTAATTTGTGCATCTCTCAAGATTTATTGCTCGATTCCAGTAGAATGTAATATCATAATAAGCCAATGACTTTCGGCTGACGTTAATGCACCGATCTTTCCTTTCATCGAAAGGGGGCCCACATGATTAAATACTTGATCTACATCTAGATCTTGTCCTGTGTGTGTCAAAGTCAAATCACATCATGACATGTAGTCATATGTAGAGAATCTAGATCTAGGCCTGGCCGTTTTTCTAAGACATGACTTTATCAATGGGAAAAGTTCGCTTACCAACTGAGCAAGTCTTGACTTCCGAAAGTGTCAATTTGAACTTTCAGATCGAATGATTTATAGACCTATAGATATCTAGGGCCTATAGATTCTAAATGATAATTTACACAATGTAGTACTGTAGTCTGTAGTAATACAGTGACAGCATTTCATCAATCAATTTCAATGTTATTGTCGAGTATTGACCAGTGCCAGTATTGAAGGCCTATTATTATTACTATTACGGAACCAGGTATAGATCTAAATCTAGATCTAGATCTAGATTCTCTAGATCTGAATATCCAAAAACTGAGCACCAACTATCACATTCATGGGAAGCACAAAGAAATATCCACTTCATTTTATCAGAAAATAATATATAAATTGTCGAGATAGATTTAGGTTACGCTCGTCTTCAAGAATCTTGGCTTGATCTACACACATTGACTTTGTTTACAATGTTACAGTTCCTCCACTTTACTCATTTCAAAGACCTTCTATATATAAAACCTAGATTAACCACCAAATGCTTCGGGCGACACTAATGTCAGGATACCGACGCCATTGGAAAAAGCATGGATAATGCAGGCAATAGGTAGCCTAGAGTCTAAGCAATAGAATCTCGAATTTGTAGTAGTACGCAATATTCGTATTCAATGAATTTTTTTTCAGGAAAAAACTAGCTAAATCATGTTACAAAATTAGGAGCACGAATTGGCAGTTTGTTGGAAAACAGCAGGAAGAGAATGGTAAAAAAGGTGGAGGGGGGGGGGGGGCTTCTGTATTGGAAATTTGTTTTAGTGGTCTTTTAGTCGTTTTTATTTTGCTTGTCAAATTATGTACATCCCACTACCATTGCTGCAGTTTTGTTACTTTTAATTAACTTTCTGAGAGTGACTGCCTCAAAAACCTCGCAAAAGCGAAACTGGTGAAGAGGAGAAGTGGCAAGTGGGCATTCTTTACTCTTTACTGCCTACCAAGATTAAAAACAACAGGACTTCCGTAAATGAATTACTCTGCTTTCCTGATCAATGGGTGGAAACGGATTAAGCAGAACAGCTTAGGTTATATCTCTGTGTTTTATTTATTATGATGCTTATTCGTGGTTGTCTGTTTGATTCCAGCACAAAAATCTAAGAATAAGATTTGGCCTAGCCTACTTTTTATGAACAAGGGCTGACGTGTCACGCGTCATTCAGATAGCACTTTCAGTTTCAGTCAAAGATTGTCTTTACAAACTAGATCTAGAATCTAGGCCTGTTGTTATAATTGCTTGTATTGTGCCAATGGCGTCCTGGGGCCTTTGATAGAATTGGCCATCTGGATAAATAGTTTTGTTTCTTTTTTTAACATCATCAGTCATGTTCAAACTTCTAGATTGTTTATTCCACATTTATTTTGTTGTAAGAAGATCTGTTTTCTTTTTAATTCGTATGTATATCTATTATGATTTATATTATAGGCCTATAGAATCAAATAATATGTAGACCACTGTGCGCCAGGTCTAAATAAACAGATGTATTTATATAGTACCTGCATAGGGTTCGCGACGAATTTCTTTTCACTAGGCCTGCTCTAATTATAGTATAGGCCTTTTTAAAATAATTTGGGTAAAATGTTTAAAACAGTAGACAAAAATATATGAAACCTAGATCTATACATTATTATTGCCCATATTGTCTTCCCCTTCTATTTCAAGTTCTTAAAATTACGTTTTATTCTTGGTTATTCCGTACATCTCTTTTTCCTTTCATTTTTTCCTGTAGTGAGAGCAAAAGTACGTTAAGTCAATTCAGGCGTTATGGGGAACATTTAACATTGTCTCTTCTTCCAGTTTCATAAGTAGGCTACATATATTACTGAATTACTGTTTGTAATTATAATCAATAACCATCCTACGTCGGTTTCTTACAGCAGTTTGCACTAACTCGTTTAATTTCTTTTCCTTCCGAAATTCTCACCACTTTATTTGTATGTTAGCATCTGGTTTATTTTCCCAATCCTTCATCACCATTTCCAGGATTCACAGCCGGTAGGCGTATATATATATTCTGGCCTAAATAAGCCATGTTTATCTGGTAAATACAGGCAACTGCGACATTTCTGCAAATTCGCAACTTGGCTGTATCATAATAAATGAGAGAAGAATCGAAGGAAATGTTCTCAACATCTTACGATGACTATCGTCTAGGCCTACACAGTAAAGTTCATGGCCAGACAAAACAAACTATTATTCTAAATACGATAGATCTACATGTATTCACAATAATTTACATGCCATTTATATCGGCTGTGGGGGGGGGGGGGTGGAGTCTAAGCATGCAACGGCAGTGAAAGTGTATCTTATACGCATAAATTTGCTTTAAATCTATTACATGTGTATGCATATCCAGTTCATTCAGCTACGTCGGTAGATCATTCTGCGACAATCAATATATGCTATTGTATTGCCAAAAGATGGAAAATAAATAACACGATGAATTACCAGTCGAACTGTCAAACAAATACCTATTTTATAAGAAAACGGTGTAAGTCCCCAAAAAGACACCCCCCC